AAATTGCTTTATGGAGACTAAATACTGCTTTCTGAAGACTAGCTACTGCTGACAGGTCTAAATACTGCAAAAGAAAGCTAAGATATTGTTGGAGAAAACATTAATAAGGCGCCGGCGCCCCCTTTTAAGAGGCGCCTGGGTGCAGTGCACCCCTTGCACCCCCGGTAGCGCCGCCTCTGCTTGGATAATTAATAACATTAAATTGTTGATGAAGCTCAGAAATACTACATTGCTTAAAAGGAGTTGCATAATTTTACTAATTTTAGTGTTCAAAGGGAAACTTACCTTGAATATATGCTGAATACCAGAAGTAGTCGAGAATTGTGGAGTAGTTTCAGGAAAATGGGTCTTCTGCCAGCAATATTTAGTCTCTTTCAGCAATTGAGGCGTTTAAGTTTATATTTTCTAATAATTTTCCAAAATATTGCGAAGCCACTATTAACCTATCACGTGTACGACAATAAACTTATATTTATTACAATTATAAGTGCCATTAAAGCAATCGAGTTCACTTTTTTGTGAATTCAGTATGCCAAATAAGTAACAATTTGACAACGAATATTGGTATTTGTTGACACCCAGCTTTAATCTACGCCAGATCCATGATTTCACCCAACTGTTTTTTTTTTTTTGAAATTTTGTGCAACACTATTGCACTTGCAATTTTGTTTACATCCATGTTTACAAACACCAAGCACTGAAAGAAAATAAATTTTACTTTCCATAGCACGGACACATTTCATTAGTGGACACGGTCCTGAGAGAACTGTCTGAGAGAAAGCTCTCGGAAGTTTTATAGAAGCTCTTGGAGAGCTAAAACAGTCTCAAGTGGACCCAGAGTTGAGAGTAGATATCGAGAGTTAAGTTTCTCTCAAGTGGACACCTAGCTTAAGTTGGCAGTTGTTGATAATACCAACCGTATTACTGCTGATGCTGATGGAACCCACAAAAATCAGCTATGGCAAAAAATCTTAAAGTCACCACATCTGTTTTCAATCTATTTTTTGTTAACAAATGTTAACAGCATTCTTTTAATATACATTCATATATAACCTATACATTATAGCCTATATATTCATCATCAAGAAGTTATGTGATGAATTTTAGCTATTTAAAAAAAATGTTATGTGTTATTGTAAAATTATCATGGTACTTCCAACTATTTAACTCTTCCCTGTAAACTTTTAAGATCAATTTGATATACTTTTTAGCATTTAATTAATTATCCCTGATAAATTGTTTTCACCTTTTCCCCACTTACTCCGCATTAATCCACACTGACCTTCATAACAATAATGGCAAAAAAAAACAAATCAAAATCGATTAAAGTTTTGATTCAACACCCGAAAATTCACAATCTGAAAATTAACTTATTTACGTCATATCGAATCGATAATATAAATTTAGTGTCTTAAACGATCGAACCGTCATCATCAATCGAACCGCGTAACTATTCCAACTTTAATTCAGTTCCCTTTTTAACGGCATTAAGATCGTTTAGCGCCTCTCAGTCTCGAATCGAATCGAATCGAATCGAATTTTAGTGTCAATATTTGTGCGTTTACTGAACGAAAATTAACGGAAATTAGCGCCCGTTTCCTTTATTCGGGATTTAAGCGGCGACAAAAGTGCGGAAACTCGGAAATGTTGTCGAGTGTTCGACCAGTATCAACCGAACTTTTCGGTTATTTTTTCAATTTTGGAATTATTTTCGTATAAATCAATATAAAAAAATAAAAAGAATCAAAAATGGTTTTAATTTTGGATATTTTGAGAAGCTACTCGTTCAAAACAGATTCGAAAATCAATTTTAAATGCGAATTCCGACGACTTTTTCCCGTATTGTGCTGTAAGTAAACCTTAAACAATTTTTTTTTCTTTATTCTTAGGCCCACTTTTACCACCTCTTGATAAATTTAACTGATAGATAATTACCATGGTTACAGCGGTTTTAAACGCTCTCATTGGCTAAGAGCGCCAATTTATCTATCGGTTAAATTTATCAAGAGGTGGTAAAAGTGGGCCTTAATTTGATTATTAATTAATTTCTAGGTTACTTAATACCCGTTTCATTTGGAATGATGCTCGGGTGGCCTTCTTTAGCTTATCCTTACCTTCTAAACAGTAACCCAACATCCCCGATTCCTATTACTTTAGATCAAACGTCGTTAATCGCCGGATTTTTAATGGAAGGGAACTCAATAGGTACATTATTCTCAACCATCACCTTTTTAAGGCCAAAAGCCTCAATTTTCATTTGCTTTTGTCTCCAATTTTTCGGATGGTGCGTTATGTTCGGTGCTAACGATATATTTGGGTTGTTAATTGCACGATCAAGCGTAGGTTTCGCGAACGGTTTTGGATTAGGTCAAATTCGCCGCTACGTTTTTGATCATTTCGACGAGGAAACGGGGAAAAATTTACTACAATGGTTAAATATTGGGGTGAATATCGGAGTTTTAGGTGTTTATAGTTTTGGTGGGTGGGTTTCCTTTCGAGTTATGGCTCTGGGTGGATTAATTGTCCCCTTTTTGGGTTGTTTGTGTTTTGGGTTAAGCGCAAGCAGCGAAATTCGACACCCACCCAAACCACAAATAAATAACAACAAGGGAAGCATCCCAATTAGCGTAATTAGTAAGAATTTCGATTCCGAAATTAATTCGAATCAAAATCAAAGTGTAACTCCCGAACAAGTCAACGTTTTTAAATGCCTTAAAAATCAAAAAAGTCGTAATTCTTTGATTTTACTCCTTTTAATTATTTTCACTCAACAATACACGGGAGGACCCGCAAATATAGTTTATTCCCAAATTATCTTTAGATCAACCGGAAACCCTCATCCGAAAATTTGCTCGGTTATTTATGCCGTAGCCTTTTTAATTTCCACGTTAATCTCGACGAAACTCGTCAAATTAGTTCCAAGAAAACCAAATTTACTAGTTTCTTGTTTAACCACGGCCGTAACATTAAGTTTAATAGCACTTTATTTCCATTTAAAATTCGAATTACTCGAAATTAACGAACACTTCGTTTGGGCTCCTTTATTTATCCTAATCCTTTTCAATTTCTTCCACACCCTAGGATTAGGAACTCTTCCTTTCACGATAATAGACGAGAAAACGCCGAAAAACGGAAAAATGGTCGCCAGAAAATTTCAAGTTATCCATTTCTCGATGTCTGCGGTTATTTCCACGAAAATTTTTCAAGTTCTTTTCGATCGATTTGATATGGCGATTGCTTATGGATTTTTCGTCGGCGTCGCTTTGTTTGGAGTCGTTATGACGCTAATATTTATGAATAATTACGAGCCGAGTGAAGAGTTACAAAGGATAGAGGAGTACGAAAGAAAATGCGAAGAAAATGAAAAGAAATCTGGTGGAGGAGGAGAAAATGAGAAAATTGAAGGGATAATTGTTGAAAAGACGGAACATATAACAAGATTGTGATGTAAAAATTGTTAATTATTAAGTTATGAAATGTGTAAATACGGTTTGATTACGATGTAATTCTTTTTTAATTGGCGAGAAAATATATTATTTTCTAATAAACATTTTGTATTATTTATTTCGTTCTGAGCGAATTCCAAAGGGAAATTTAATAAATATCGTTAATCCATTGCTACTTAACTTGCGTGTATTCATCATAAAGTGTCGGTGATTCCCAGAAAAGTTTTAAAGTTATTGAAAAAGATCTCTAAGTACTTCCAAACAGTTTTACTAAATGATTTATTCATATATTATAATGCATGTGGGATAATAATATACATCAACACACAACAATAAGTTTAACAAAATAATATTTTGTGATTTTATTTATTGATCTTCTATAATCATTACTGGGTTACTCGAGATGGCATCCACCTGCTTCATATTAGAACCAGGTCGGTGTATAATCTTCTAGATTCAGCGCCCATCGAGAAATTCTTGTACTCAATTCCTTTTTGCTCATAGTTAGTTTCAAAGCTGCACAATCGGTTACGATCTTGAATGGATTCCTTTGCAAATAAACTCTAAACTTTGCCAGAGCCTTGATAACTCGCTATTATTTGTAGCTTCAGTAGTTTTGTTCCACCACAGATGTTCTACGACTGTAGTATACAGGATGTCCCGTTAAGCGTACGGAGCGGCTGTATCTCTAGAACGGTAAGGCCTAGAGGTTTGGGAAAAAAATCCTTATAAGCAAAGTGACCAAGAGAAATAGCTGGAAATTATTTTGAAGTTCGTAATTCGAAAACCGCTAGGGGGCGTAACTGCCATTGAGAAACATAAAGTTCCCGCTATCTCAGAAACTTATACGATGAGCTAAACTTTGACAACATCATTTAATAGCTTGGATAACACGGCATCGCTTTTGTTTTGCGATATTTCTCATATCTGTCATAATAAGGGAGGGGGAGGCCAATGCGTTTTCATATGTTTACATTTTAATATCTCCTAGACCATTCAACCGATTTGAATATTTTCGGTGTTGTTTGAAAGAGCATTTTATGCTCTTTTTAAGGATATTTTCAGTAAGACCGTCTGCTTTAAAACAAATGAGCTAGAGAACGTTATCTGCAGCGATTACATATTTTTGAAGAAAAGTTAAATGGAACGATACTATTTACTTCACAGACCCTTAGTCACCTTAAAATTTGCTAAATTTTAGTGAAAACCGCATCTCGATATCGCCACCAGTTCTCGAGTTATAGAAGAAAATGTTATAAACTCGAGTGTCATCAATCGGATCCAGTTACCTCATCGAGAAAAACAAATCACAAAACCATGGTAACTGTAAACATGTCATTTACTAACGCAGAAGCGTATGATAGAGCGTATGATGATTTATTTTCAATGTTTCGAATACGATGCAACTGCATGGCAAAAATGTGCAATGCAATTACGACAAAGAAAGACATTTTTCTCTAGAAGTGTTTTTAAGATTGACTTAGCGATTACGGAAAACTGGCAACGTGTAGCCCATTCAGACATCTCTATGAATTCGTAAATCACATTGGTGCGCAATGCATGGAGTTCACACATAATCTGGGAACTCCGAAAACAATTGTCCACAAGATTCCTCAAGAGAATAATATCTCCACCACGTTGTTTTACATCAGGCCTTAACAGATACCGATTATGATAACAGACTGAACTATTACCATTGACTTTTAAATATGATTTGGGCAAATCCAAACCTTTTATCACAAATGCTATGGATGCATGAAGCATCTGTCCACAAGCTGATGTAAACTTGCATAATATGCATTCTTGGTTCGAGCAAAACCCACATTGCTTTCACCCCTTTATCTATTGGGTAGACTAAACGACCTGACTTTTCAAGAAAAACCAATAACCAGGGAAAATATGACAAAACACTAAATACCAGTAAAAACGTGTCCAGGGCCGAGACTTAAGCAGCGCTTTTTTTTCGTCGAAACTAGATTAAATAAATGCATCGAGGTTTATGGAAGGCATTTCGCACATTAGTGAGTTATTTTTGCCAAAAATTTAAGTTATTCTAAGTGTTTTGGTTTATTTTGTTTTATTATCATTGTTGATGTTTCATTGATCCGTTGGCTTTTCAACACGCCTCAAAAGTAGTTTTGAAGCAGTTCTAAGCTTGGATAAAGTGTGAAGGAAGGTTCTAGATAATAAAATTTTTGTTCTCTCTTATTTGTTTCCTAAGGTAACTTGATCCGATTAAGATATACGAATTTTTAACATTTTCTTTTATAATTCGAGAATGGATGGAGATATCGAGATGCGGTTTTCACTAATATTTAGCAAATTTTATGGTGATTAACGGTCTGTGAAGTAAATAGTACCGTTCCATTTAACTTTTTTTCAAAAATCACAAAAATATGTAACCGCTGCAGATAACGCCCTCTAGCTTATTTGTTTTAAACCAAGCGGTCTTACTGAAAATATCTTTTAAAAGAGCATGAAATGCTCTTTCAAACAAGACCAAAAATATTCAAATCGGTTGAATGGTCCAGGAGATATTAAAATGTAAACATTTGAAAACGCATTGGCCTCCCCCTCCCTTATTATGAGAGATATGAGAAATATCGCAAAACAAAAGCGATGCGGTATTATCCAAGCTATTAAATGATGTTGTCAAAGTTATAGCTCATCGTCTAACTTTCTGAGATAGCGGGAATTTTATGTTTCTCTATGGCAGTTACGCCCCCTAGCGGTTGAATTACGAACTTCAAAATAATATCCAGCTATTTCTCTTGGTCACATTGCTTATAAGGATTTTTTTCTCAAACCTCTAGGCCTTACCGTTGTAGAGATACAGCCGCTCCGTACGCTTAACAGGACACCCTGTACAGAATGCAATTTTTGATCTTCTGAACTTCTTTGCATAAGTATGCAAATTCCATAGCAATTCCATACTTACTGGCCTCAGTGTAAACTTGTGCTAAAATATCCCGATAAACCGAGGAATGATTGTAATTGTTTAACATTGGTAGGTTCACGAAAATTAATTGCAGCTTTCAATTTATTCGGTGTAGGCCTCAATCCTTTATTTTCTATTTCGTGACCAAGGTATTCAATCTTTTTTTGTAGGAACTGGCATTTCTCCCAGTTAATTTCCAATCCATATTCTGAGGATGTAGTCAACACTTGCTTTAGCTTTTTTATTCCATCATCATCTTCAAAAGTTATTACTAAGGGCCGGTTTATCAATATCGAGCTAAATCTGTTAGATACGCAACTCATGGATAAACTTGCCTAATAAGGTCCATTACTACCACCTTTTAGTTAAATTTATCTTATAGATAAACCATCTACTACTAAATCAGAGTGCGTAAAATAACCGTAACCGTAGCCTAAGGCTCGTTACTACCATCTTCTGGTTAAGCTATCTAAGGGATTATTACCACGGTTACGGCTATTTCACGCGCTCTGATTGGCTAGTAGATAAATTTATCTAAAAGATGGCAGTAATGGACCTAAATAACTTCAGCGAAGCGTTTATCCAGCAACTTTTTACCCGACAGGCAGCAACCTACAAGATAGAAAATAGATGGTAACACTCAGGGGGTGTTAACATTAGAAACGGAAATGAAACGTGATTCGTCAAATTTCAATAATTGACTTTAGTTTGGGAAGTTGATATAAAGAACTGATCGTGTTTTGGAGGTTATCATTCCCGTGTGCTTTCGGTATTGTGCGTTGTTTTCGAAAACCTCTTTTATAATGGGATTCCTACATGAATATTCATTAGACAGCGAGTAAGATGAGGATATTGTCTAACTCTTAAATTATAAACGACGACCATATATTATAAAAGAAAGCACTTTGAGGAGTTGGACGACCACGATTTTTTTGTTAGATTTCGGTTAAAAAAGGATAGTTTTGTCGATCTTGGTTAAAATTGAGACGAGATTATACAGGGTGTGTCAAATGTCTGGAATATAGCCAATATCTTCGCTATTTGTGGTTTTAAAGAAAAATGTTTCAAATACAAGTTACTTGTTAAGAAAAAAATCGAGAAAAAAAGCGTTTTCTGAAAATATTAAGTCAACAAATTGCAATCAAAGTAGGCGCGGAAATAACGTTGTTGACAGCTTTAAATGTCAAAAAAATGACAGTTTCAACAATTATGAATAATTAATAATGTATGGGTACGGTGAAACACATTTAATCTAGTTTCGTCATTGGTAGCTGTCTTCGGCCGTCCACTTTTTGGAATGTTTTTAACACTTCTGGTGTTAAAGAATTTTTTAATATTTTGGATACTGTGGATTGTGTAATTTGTGTATCCGGGTAAATATTATTGAACAGTGTATAAACTTCACTTGGAATGCGTTTTCTATCACCGTACCCATACATCATTAATATTTCGATTCTTTGTCGTTCTCTTAATTGCGCCATATTTGTTTAAAATAGTCAATTTTTGACATTTAAAGCTGTCAACGGCATTCTTTCTCGATTTTTTTCTGATACAACCATATGATTTGATATGTTCATCGCGTAAAGGGATTTATCCTCTATCAAAATATGAAAGAAAAACATATACATCCCATTTAAAATAACAATGTTGGTTGCCATAGCAACGAAACAAAAACAATATAAACAAGCAAATATCGCCAAACAATGCGACACAATTAATAAAGAATCTTTTATTTAAAACATTTTTCTTTAAAACCACAAATGGGGAAGATATGGGCTATATTCCAGACATTTGACACACCCTGTATATTAAATTATAGATTATATTATTATTATTTTTTTTAATTATTAGACTATTATTTATTTTCTATAACATTTTTATAGTTGTTTGCCAAATCTATCAGCAAGTTCTTTTCTGCTGTACTAAAATTCGATGATCTTTTTACATTCTCTTGCTTATCCATCACCACAATTATAAGCTTAATTTATTTTTGACGTTATATTTTGATTTTGTTGTCATTTCCTTTCACCAAGCGACCAAACTTGCGCGCATATTTTTTTAGTTTTCTAAGTCCAGTACGCTGAATAATTGGTCTTCAATCAGCGGCAACGGATACCTGTCTCTTACTAGATACTTCTTTGTTTAACTGCAAATTAATTCAGAG